GGGAGGGCCCCCCCCCTATAGAAAAAACCCCTCAAAAAAAAAAAAAAAAAAAAAAAGAACTCTGGCGCTTGCGCCAAGACCTGAAGAAAGCGAAGACATGGAGAGTTTGGATATTGCAGGGAGAGCATTCAGACAGGGAGAATCACCGAGGCAAAGGCCCTGAGGTAGAGTGCCCATGAGCTCAGGAGGCCACAGTGGCTGGAGCAGACGGAGGCAGTGGGTTGAGTGGTGTGGAGGCCCATTATGTAGACCCAGAGGCCGTGGCAAGAACTTTGCCTTTCCTCTGAGTGGGGGCCTCTGAGGTTCTGAATGGAGGCGTGACTGGATCTGCCTTAGGTGTTTTTTGTTTTTTTGGAGAGGTTTTTGCTATAGGGCGCGTGAGCTCACCAGAGAGACAGAAAGAGAGAAATCATCTCCCACAGGGAATGGCTACGCCGCAATCCCTTCTCCTCCATTCTCCTCTCGGGGGGTCTTGGGCACACACGCACACGCGCCCAGCGTGAGTTCAAGCCACTGGCTCTGGGACTTGAACCATGGTTGATTACATGGGAGTCCAGCGACACAGCCATTATGCCATTTGGATCTCTTTGGTGGACAGAGAAAGAGAGGAGAGAGACCGGGGAGATGCCGTGAAAATCTCTAGATGGAGACGCTAGTTGCACGGGCTAGTGCTGGGTGGCAAAGGAGGTGGCGAGAAGCGGTCGAATTCTGGATCTGTTTTGCAAGTGAAGCCAACAGGATTTGTTGAGAGACTGGCTGTGGGGTGTGGGAGAAAGAGAGGAATCAAGGATGATCTCAAGGTTTTGGGCCTGAGCCAATGGAAGGATGAACTGCCCCACATTGTCTTTCCTTTGCTGGGGGGTGGGGGGATACTTTTATGCTCGTCGCAGGCATAGACCTTGTAAGAACAAACTTCCAGGCATGCAGCGTTTCCTGAGCCCTGGTTCTCGGGGCCACTGGCTGGGTCTGCAGAGCCAACCCCAGGCACTGTGAGGTCAGCAAGCCCGCCCTGGTCCCCACCTCCTACCCAGATTTGTTCAGAAGACTAAGGAACACTTTCCTCATGTTCTACAGCTGACAAAGCACATTTGCAAACACGGAGTCCTGTGATACAAAAGCCCTGCAGAGCTAAAAGGCCTGGATTCATTACCCTCATGTTGTAGGCAGGAAAAATGGAGGCCCAGAGAGAGTCAGTGAGTTCCCCGAAGCCACACAGCAGGTCAGTGAAAGTGTGGAAAGCTGGACCAGAACAGTGCACTGAGGAACAGAAGCTCTCCTTCGCTGCCCCATCCCTGCTCACACTTGTGCTAAGAGTGTAGTGGGTGTGCATGGGTTAATCCTCCAACCAGTCCCCAGGGGCCATGGGGTGCTGAGTTGAGAGCACAAGCCTCCAGAGGCCTCCAGGAGGGGCAGAAAGAGGACCCTGGACAGGCCCACACAGCAGGCCCTGGGGGCAGGGAGGCCTCCACATATATGACACCAGTGTCACATGTGTTACATGTCATCGTGTGCCCCATGCCCATACATGGCTTTGCCCAGTCCTCTCAAAGCCAGCCCTGCTCACCCTGGATGCAGCCCAGCCCCCGCATAGCCCCCTAACCCATGCCCCCTGCCCTCCTGCAGCAGGAGCCCAGAGAGGCATTTCCTGTTTGGGGGCTGCCTCCTCCCCTTCTGAGTCCAGGTTCCCAGGGCTCCAGGCTGAGTAGGGGTGGAGGGAGGGCAGTCTCCTGGCTCCCCCTCCTCCCAACCACACACTGGCCCAGCTGGAGCCAGAACGCTTGGAGGTGGGGTGGTAGGTAAGGGAGGAGGTTGAGGCAGGCCTTAGTACAGAAATGAGAAGTCGAGGATGTTCATGGCCAAGTCATCAGTGTGGCTCCCGTTCAGGGCCTGCACAGAACATGAGGGACTCTGCGTGTGAGCCCACGTAGGATGCCGCACCGTGCTTGGGCATGCCCCTGAGGGATTTAACATGTAAGAACCTGCTCACATATGGGAAGGGGTCTGCAGGCTGCCCTGGGTCTACAGCAAGAAGGGTTTAGCATGTCCGAGACTAAGGGTCCACGAAGGGGTTCTTGCACTATGGGAGTGGGAAGAGACACGTGTGCACAGACGTGATGTGAAGGAAATGGGCCAGGGTATGTTCCCACAAGTATGGCAGTTGGGCTGTGTGATGAGGTTGGAGTGTCGACTGGGGTCTCAGTCTCTGGAAAGCCCTGAGTGCAGACGTAGCTGGAGCTTCTGAGGGTCGCAGGCCTCTGCAGGCAGGCGTTTCCCTGTCCCTGACTCCCAGCCCTGTGGGGCCTGGGGCAACCCATTAACTATGTCTCCTCCCCTCCTCCGCCCCCACCCCCAGC